CGGGACTGATGTGTGGAGAAGGGTTCATAAGTTTTTACGTTAAAGGCAGTGTGTCTAGTGTTTTCGATTTTCCAAATGCACGTCTAAGGGGAGTTTGCAACTATCTATGGGTAATTGTGGTGCTGAAATGTGCATTTGGGTCTTGCAACAGTTCATTCATTTTCATCGATCGCATCGATGGCCGTCCGTGAACAAACACAATAATAAAAAATGAACCAGTCAGCGGAACACAGAGAACGAATACACTGGCTTACATGTGGCGAGTAACTGCGCGCTAGTGACACGGCCGTTATCTTGGTTGCCACGGTCTCGTGCATAAGGGAGAGCGCTGGCGGTATATAACGCTGTGCACTTGGAGGTCCCTTGCACAATTCGAGACGGAAAAAATATGGTACCATGAACATGCCTGGTGTACCAGCGACATCGCAGCAACGATTTCAGCGCCAGCGCCTCAGCGCCAGATGTGCCTTATTATTTGGAACGCCGGATCCGGTGCACGCGCATTCGCAATTCGGTTATTAATTTCAGGGTAGAGAAATCTTAGCCGCCTATGGCCGCTGACAAAACAACGAAGAACAACCGTATTTTCATAGAGCCTGGTTCAGACGATTGACATGACACAACACTTGTGCTTTTTCAGTATAAAGTAGGTCAACATGAACTAATCGCAGGGCTTAATCTGCGGTACGTATCATTTGACCAGCCTTACCGTACGGCCAGCCCCGTTCACACGCAGCCCTCAGCTGAATGTAAACAAAAAACATCAATATTATGGCCGCCGTCATCGCTGCGTTCGCAAGCTGCTGTCAGCGCTGACAAGAGACGTCCTCGAAAGGTCATTGACCAGAGCTAACGATGCCTTCTCAATGATACCGATGTGCTTGGTAGTGAATATTGTTTATGGGCACCCAGTAACTTCGTACTTCCATACAAACCCAATACAATTTTGGGACTGTGGCAACATCTCGTCAGTGGGAGCGAATTGGTAGAAACCATTGAGGCCAAAATGTTTAAATCGAAATTTTCCACCTTCCTACGAGCACAGTTAAAAATCTCAACTCAACTAAACACACTCCTTTTAGCTGAAATTAACTAACTGTTTTGGATTTTTTGGGAAAAATGAATCAATTTCAAATCTAAATGAAATTGTTCATCGAAGAAAACTTTAAAAAAACATTCATAAAAATGATAAATATGTGGTTTGGTTCAAGTACCTACGTGCATATGAATTATGATAGTTACACATATTGTGGACAGTCTTAAGCACATACTCGTAAATTATGCGCAGATTTCGTTTTTCCATATGAAAATGAGAGGGAAACTGCACCTCTCCAGCTCTACAAAACGGGCGTATTTGCAGGAAGCTGATGCGAACTGCTAGGCTGCCGTATGTGATCACCGTGGCTAAGCGCATGAGCTTAAAATATATAATATTTTTAAGTTATATATACACATATATATATATATATATATCATGGTTGACCAGAAGAAAAGCAGACGAGGCCTCATCAGTCTTTTGTACCTGTCCCTTTATGGCGACTTCCAAGACTCTGTCACCCCAATCATTTTAAGAAATCGACACCCATGATGGTGGATTAAGAGCGGACAAAGTCCTCCATCCCCCCCCCTCCACTGGCCGCCCGGACTTGTCTAAGGTGACATCCTCAAGTATGGCCTGCGCCTGGCCCACCCACTTTTTAAAACGTTCCTGCTCCTCTGGTTCCTTTGGTGTATGCAATGGCACAGTCAGTCAGCCGTTTTGTGTCTAGAATTAGTCAAGTGCCAGGCCTCACCAAGGGTGGATACAGGACTTCGTCAAGGGGGAGGGCCACGCAACATTGTAGTTTCCCTAGAGTTTGGGGCCCCGTCCAAAAATCTTCGCATCCTGGTATAATGCGGGGTTCCATCTTACCGTGCGCAGCCTTAGGAAGCTAGGTGTGCTGCGCATGCGCATACATGAAGCCTATTCATTTTTTCCATATCATCGTAAATCTAATGATTTTAAGGCTAACTAGCTCGGAAAAACAGGCAAAATAAGCTACGGTTGACTGCTAGATACCACCAACAGCAAGCACTAACTTGGTTCTCAGCTTATTTAGGCTATCCGGCCAGTCGATGTGACCGTCTGATGGCTGACGACTAATGCAGTTTTTCCTTCGCTATAAAGGGGTGCAAAATATCCTGGCATTCAAAATGTATTAAGACTGCGATGCACAAGCATAGGTGTCACACATTCACTAGCCAAGGGAAATGACACGCACGTCATCAGCGGCACGTGAGATTACGTTCGATTCACCGGCGCGCACCCGACTGCTACTCTAAGGCTAAGACACCGAGGCCAACAGGGCCTAAATCTGAGCGATCATGGATGCCGCGGGAGGCCGACAAAGAGGCTCCAGTTAACAAGTATAGGCTCCTCAGAGCAGGCGAGAAGAGCCCAAGAACAACACGGTGGGGCTTGAACGATCGGTAGTGCCCCGGCAAGCCGTTATATATGACCCCGGCCAGAGAACAGGACCCTCTGAGCAAAGGAAAATTACCGAAAACCAGTGCAGTGTAATAATATCCCTATGCGAACAAGAGCGCCCGGGCAGTTTAATAGAAAAGGCTGCAATAGAAGTGAGGAATTCTCCGCAAATGAGATTAAAGGGAAAGAGCCTTAGGTCAAAGAAGAGGGCCTCTGAGCATCGCGTGGTTCGCTACCTTACCTTGTACAGGCCCCAGCAATAGCGCAAGGCCTTCCAAGCAAGTGAAAAGAACTCGACACCAATGTGAGGGGCCTTGAGCAACTGAGTGCACCCTGGTATATGAGGCCCCAGAAAAAGTGTGTAGAGCTTTTCGGGCGAATAGGAAGAATCTGTGAAGGAAAACCCGATCGCCCAAGAGTCAGGAGAAGAGTGCCCAGGCATGTAAGCAGATATTGTTCCAACTGCAGCGAAGGGTTTTGCAAGAAAATGTAAGGAGATCAAGGGCAACGCGGAAAGCTCCTTAGCGATCGGATTACCTGGTAAGTGAACATATAGGGCCCGGGCAACAGCGTAAGGCTTCTGGACAGCATAATGAGCCCCAAAATTTCCCCCAAGCAACACTTCAATCAACAAGGAATAAACTTTGTCTATTCAACGATTCTTCACTCTCGCTAGCACCTGTTCTTGGTCGTCTGTATGCCAAAGACGTGCAATTTTGTTGTGTTTTGTGCCAGAAAACGGCGGCCGTTCGGCCGGTTATGGCCCGTTCGAAGCCTATGAGTCCGTCCGGGGCCCAAAGGGGTCCGGGGTCCGGGGCACAAAGGGGTCCGGGGTCCGGGGCCCAAAGGGGTCCGGGGTCCGGGGCACATCCGTCCGGGGCACATCAAATTTTGTTGCGTTTTGTGTTAAAAAACTGCGTCTGTTTGACCGGTTTTGGGACCCAGGCACATATTCACACAGGCTATAAATCCTGTGTGAGGGGTGGGGGCATGACCCCATGCTTCCTCTGGATCTGCCCCTGGACCTCACTGCCACCGGACATGTTTTCGGCACGCCTTAGACACAGACATGCAATTTCAGATGTTTTATGATAAAATGCGATGTGCCATGCTTATTGTCACTAGACTGATTTCTGGTATTTCTGGTATGTAAATACTGGACGGATGTGTGCAATTGCAACTTTACATGATAAATGAACAATTTGTGTGGAGTTTTAAATTTTTCAACTTTTTCGATAATGTTGGAGGAGGCCTCTTGCTGTACCAGTCAATCTGTTGATTCTTTATGATGCGCTGATTTATTTTATTGTGATTTATTTAGTTGGGAGAGGAACTGACTGACAAGTTTGGGGTGGGGGGGGGGGGGCTAAGCTGCATGTTGCAGGGGGGGGGGGAGTTAGTTCCTTAGCCGCATCAGTTTTAGTGTAGCGAAGACAGCGTGATATATATCGAAGTAAACGGCACTCCGAGCAGATGCAAAGAAATCAAGCGCAGTGTGGAAGACTCCTGGCGAGCAGGTTGACACGGCAAATGGACATATAGGACCCCCGTAGCGTGGGGCCGCCGGACAGCGCAATGACCCTTAAGATTAAGATCTCCCCAATCGCCACACTGTCAATCAACGAAGAGTCATCATTATCTGCTTATGAGACTTTTTTCGCTTGCGGCTGTTGTTGGTCGCATGGAGGCCCAAATGCATCCAATATTGTTGCGTTTTGTGTTAAGAAATTGCGCCCGTTCAGCAGGGGTATGGGGCCTTGGAAAGACTATGGGTTCCTTTGGGACCCAAGGATGGAAGGGGCATAGCCCCCTTCCCCCCTCTCCTCCACGCCCTCTGGGTCCGCCGCTGCTTCCTGCAATGCTTCGACCCTTTCCCAGAGATCTGGCAACATTCAAAGCACGTCAAAGAGAGCGGAGGCTGCACCATATGTTGCATCTGCCACACTCCCATGCTCGCGAGGCCACCGTGACACTGTGCACACCAACCCTGTGACCCACAAACGAGTGAGCCAGCCTTGCGCAGGTCTCACCGCGCCGCTCGCGCAAGGAGGCCTCTCGCCATCTCCTTTTAGAAATTCAGGCACCCATTGGACCTGGTCGCCAGAGGGCGCCGTGCTGCGCAGTAGGCGCACATGCCATTCCGGTGGCATTGAACACGCCACCCCGGTCCCTAATCGCTCCCTGCGTCCATCGTGCGCCGGGCGTCCCCCTTAATTATACCCGGGGAGGCCGGCGTCCTGTTGACCGTTGTCCCGGCCGGCGCGCCGCGCTCCGCCGCTCTCTCCGCGCCAGCCGGCCGGCCGCCGCACAAAAGGCCGGGCGCTCCCCGCTCTGCCCGCCGGCCGGCATGCCCGCCGTAATTACCATCGACCCGCCGAAACGCTAAAACGAATTTCCCCGGCCTTGGATAATAGACGCAGCCGGTCCGTGGGGGGGGGGGGGGGGGAGCGGTTCATCCGGGAACTTGCATCACGTGACCGCCGCGGGGGATTCGGCGGCTGCGGCCCGCTCAGAAACGCGTTTTTCACGTCGGGCGAGGGGCTGGTGCGCGAGTGGCTGCCAGGCGATAGGCGATTTCGCAGTGAATGTGACAAGGCTAGGAGCTAACCAACAGCGGTAAGGCCAATTTAAGCACGCTTGATTTGCCGGTGGGTTCGGTTTTTCTCTATGTTGCGTGGTTTGCCTGTTGTCAGTCCGGCTTTCTGTTGCGTTATTTATTGGACGGTGGTGGTGCGCCGCCGGTCGGCGGGCGCATGCGCAGTAGGGTCTGTTTACATGTGGCTGCTTTGTTTCGGCGCGACGGCAGAGCGCCGGCTGCCGACCAATGGCAAAAGCTGCGCGGGGTGGCAATGCGCCAGGTCAGCATGGGTCCGCTGAGAGAGGAAGGGAGGGGGGGGGGGGAAGGCACGTGCGACGGACGCCGGCCGGCCAGGTTGTGGCGTCATGGTGCGGACTGTCAGAAATAGGTGGTTGGCCGCCCCGTCCCGCCCGGGTCGACCCTCTCTTCCTGGCGAGCCCGATACTGTGATGTCCCGGTGGACGGTGCTCCTCAACTGTGGTCTTGGGCGGCGAATAAGGGCCACACCCAAGTTAAGCCTCTTAAACACGGAATATGCGCCCCAGTGCGCCCGCGACTTCGAAAGGCCGATGCTGTATCAGAAACCACCAGTGTCTGTGCCAATTAGGGAATATGCCTTCACTTCTCGCACTCTCCTGGCAGAAAAAAAGCTTGGAAGGGCAACTGGCGCCGGTTGGGGGAGTTCGAAGTACACACCCCGCCAAAAATACCTCGCTGGGTTTGAGTGCCATGTCAAGGAATTTTGTTGCAGTTAATCCTTCCGTGTAATTAATGGTGGCACGCTTCAGCCCTGAGGAGGTTGCTTATCTTATTGTATGCCTGAGACACGATGCAGCGTCCAGGCCGGACAGAATTCCTGTCGGGCCCTTCTGTATGGAGCTTCGCCACTTTCAGATGCCTTAGCACGGCTCCTGACCGCCTGTTCTCATGAACTGTGGGTGTCATCCAGCTTTGCCTGAAGCACAAGTGAGCTCCTCTTAAAAAAGGACGTGGGTTTCGCGTCAACGCCTTCGGTCATTATGGGCTGATCTCGCTCGTTTCAGTGAGCTCTTAAGCTGTGGAGATGCTGGTGCTCGATTGTCGTCATTTGAACCAAGCGAGTTGCAGTTCGGTTTTGCGGAGGGACGGGGAACGCTCGAACCACCATCCTCATGGAAGAGAGTGGGCGGTGGCAGGGGCGCAGCCAGAGCCGTGGCAGAGGGGCACAATATTGACAAAGGGTCCCCTGTAAAAGGGTCCCCTGTAGGTAGTAAATGGGGCCTGTAAAAATCGCCAGATATGGCCCATTTCTTATCGAGGACATATGTTTGTTAAATAGATATGTATATGTATATACTACACATTTTTACCTTCATCACAGGAATATAGGCCGGACGCTACCGTGGGATCAATTCTGCCTCAAGTTTATGGTTAACATCCTGCCAAAATCATGTGTTCGACGACTGCATGTTTTATGGGCGCCATATGACCAACGTAGTCGGTGCGCCCCAAAGCCCAAATCATCATCATCATCATCATAGACGACTGCATGAAGTAAATTGCCGGCGCTCTTCATTTTACAATGGTCCAGGTCCGGGTTGTGCGAAGATAGCAAGGATTCCGCGAATGTGGATTGAAGATCAAGATGGTCAACAGCTCGTATTTATATGGCCAAGCCATGTTTGGATATGTTGAACATTCGGTAAAAGTCGATTGTAATTACGGACTATGTGGCGTAGTTTTGAGCACGCGCGCTCGCATCTAGCAACAAAAAACTCGACGCCAGACGTTGCAGTTTCCTTAGCCGCGCAGCGTCGGCCCCGCGGCTAACATTTTGAGATGTTCCGGGCGTATATTTCACCTCTGAGGTTTGTAGATTAATGGCAACAAGTTATTGGTCTTTACAGCACCGCAGATAATCTGGAAAAATTGTACGGAGTGCGGGAAAATTTCCCGGAGTGGCGCTCGGCACCGCCAACACGGAAAATCATCCCAGTTAATCTTCTGTACCGAGGTAGGATTCGCGGGAAATTTTCAGAGCATGTGCGCAAGTCATTTCATATTCATCATTTTTTCCCATTTTGTTTTCGTTTTTTTATAATATGTATATATATATATAATGATATATATATATATATATATATATATATATATATATATATATATATATAAATAATATACCTCATTCATTTAATCACATCAAGCCATTCATTCAGGCTTTGACCTCACTGGACATTGAGCGCATGGGGGCCTGACGGGCATTGCCTTACAAGCAGCAGTCGGACTTCCGCGATGAGCGCATAACGCAGCCCTTCTCTGGGCTCTGCGCGTACCGCGAGTACAGGATGAGATGCGATCTGCTGTGCTCCGAAGGTTCTGCGGCCTGTTTCGCTCTCCACATCGTTCGTGAAAGCTCTTATGAGAGCTGGAGTCTGGCTGGCCTACCGCCTGGTTGAACTTGCTGGAAACTTTGCCGGATCCGCGTTTTTACTTTGCGGAGAAGATCGGGTCGGCTAGTAAAGTTGGCCTGCGAGGGGATGGGCAGCTGCCTTCTTTCTCCAGTGCGGTCCCAGTGCGATGTGACTCTCAGGTGAGTCTTGAGTCTCTCAGGTGGCGCTTGACGAGAACCGACCCAGAGGCCGTAAGGCCATTACAATTAATGTGTGGATTGGTGAAGCGTCCACGTATATTGAATATGCGTAATGCGTTTGCACATAGTTGTAAGTTCTTCCACTATATGTCGTCCGACATGACGCCCAATAAATGACCAGAAAAGGCACAAATAGCGCCCTTCGTCAAAAGGGCGGGGTTTATCAGAACAGTTGGTTTAGACTCGCATTACTGGGGTATTTTGTGTAATGACGTCCTGTGCGGTTCTTCATGAACGATGGTATTGCTATCAGTCACGGATGAGTTTTCAGCATTGGAAGAGGAACGCATTTTGAAGTATAACAGCGTTAAGATTCAGCAAATCGTGCGTGCTGTGGCCGCTTGACAGCCCGAATCGCTCGGTAGCATGAATTTACGCTCATCCTATGTACACCCTACTGGGTTAATTTTGGAACGCTGGTAAATCTTATGGATACAACTACACAGAACATGATTGATCAGCAACATCACCCATGCTGGGATTAAGTTAGATGCGTGGCTCTGCATTGTAATTCTATAAATTCCGCCGAATTCACTACGATTTACCACTAAACTAGTCTTCTGCAGCCCAGATCTTATTTTGCGAACTATACAGCTTACAGTAAGCAATACTTTCTTCTGTACGCATATCTTGTTTTCGTATTCAACCGCATGAAAAGCACCGATTGCCAACTTGAGTTTCAAACAAGCGCATCCAATGACGAAATCGACGCACGGAGATGGGCAAAGTTGGTTTATGTCGTCAGCTGTTGAAAGAGCTGGGATGCATATCCAAGGATGATCTGCACGTGTCGTACGGACGGGCTCGTATTTTATAGCCACGTTCGAAGACAACCTGGCTGGTTTAGAACCTACCATGACGCTCCGTGTGGCCAATCTGAATTTACAAAGGCACGATCACATGTATGTAGGACTGGAAGGTCACTATATGAACCAGAGCAGTGATAAATGCTTATCTTAGAAATATACCATGTTTCATAAACACTAACAATGATTGGAGCTTGTACATATATTTTCTTCAAGGTCTGGATTATTGGCTCATTTTAAAGAGTTCTGTATCACTAAGGATTTTGTATCCGACAAAATTTGATGCTATGGATGAAGCCTGGGAACCAGATGGTTGCATAATTAATCATTCAGTAATTGCATATTTTAACATTCAGTAGTTTTCAAAAGGTTTTCAAAAGTTCTGGGTGCTGAAATTAAAGGACATAGCCAAAGTGTTAGTAAAAAATGTAACTAAAACAATCTATGTTTGTATATTTGCAGCTTCTTTCTGCGGTAGTTATATGACAAGGTGACATGTGTGACTAGAATGAAGATAATAGTTCTCGGTATACGCCATGAAGATATAACTTGGGAATAAGTACGTTTATGGGCCTCATACAGCTCCGTATTTTGGCACTTGTGTTTGTGTAATACTAAGCACATATATTTGGAATGAAACGTAGGGGTTTGGGTGTGCCGGTGCGGTTTTTCCGGAAACTTTCCTTGCGGGGCGGGATGGTTTCAAAGTTGAAGTGCGTGGCTGGTACAGGCTTCACAAATCCGAAAAAGCGGAAGCCAACCCCCTTTTCATTACGCACGCTACCGCTAAAGCTTATAGAAGCCAGAAGTTTTGCATCGTTAAATTCAATGTTTGGCAAAAAGAAGCAATCTAAATCAGGAGGAGATGCCACAATTTTCACACATTTCATTAGACAATGATTTGCTGGGCCGGCTGTTGGAAGTTCCGGACACTGGATGGGTGCACGATAGTCGCTCGTTGTGTGTGTCCGCTGTGATGGTTGGATTGGGCGAAATGGAGAAGAATGGTTCACGGTTAGAGGTGACGTTATCACGACTCCGGATGGATGGAAATAAATTTAAGCTAGCCGAGTTTTCGCCCACTCTTTACAGGCCTTCATATAGCCCGTTATGTACCATCTTGCTGCAATGTCGAAATGAAAGTCTCTGATCGCTACCACATGCGTTTGTCGGGTTGGGGAAATGCTATGTGTCTAAACAATGCAACTGCAAGCAGATAAGCATCCGAAATGTGAAAGGAACAATACAAAATGGCATAAGACCATCAAGATCCTACAATGGGGTGGTATTTCTCCGAGCGTCTTAGCTGCTCAATTTAGGTCAGTTCAGTCATAGTCTGCTCAGTTTACTCCGTTTGGGTTGTAGGAACTGATAATGGGACACGGCGGCGCCTGCGTTATATTCGGGAACGGGAAATATTATGTCTAACCTCAGAGTCATCAAAAAGGCCAAGTACATCCAAATATCTCTTCGTTTTTAGAACGCACCACTTTCTCGAACTGTGCTGATGTGCTCCAAACGGTTCTTGTGGAACTGTGCGATCTCAGAAAAAGTTTTGGCTGGTCCCTGTGGTTGGAGCTCGCGGACTTCAGGGAGACGATTCCAACGGCCAGAGATGACAGTTATGCTTTTTGGCGCCGACCTAAGGGCTTGGTCGTTATTCAGCGCGAACGGCGTGTCTTCGTCATGTTCCCAGGGATGTGAACACCGCCCTTGTGGCTGTGCTCGCTCCGGTGCGATCTGCTCGTAACCGGTGCTAAAAACCGAACAGGTCCGCGGCTCAGCCATCCCATATGGGGAAACTGATAAGCTTGCAGATTTGGTAATCGCAGTGGACAGCAGGAGCACTGCACACGTTATTGCTCAACAACTGGGTCGGCGCCATCGTGTTTTGTTTCCAAAAAAGGTTTTGTGTGTAAGTGCTTATGGCCGAGTGGTCAGCAACATTGACTCCCGGGGGGGGGGGGGGCCCGAGTTCGAATCTCAGTTACGCCATGGCCCGTGGGCGTTTCTGTGTTGCCTGCAACCGCTGGCGTTTCAGAAAGTGTGCGAGACAGTGTGCTTCGTGTTCCCTTGAAAAAGAGGTCAATTTTGGCCACGTTTACATCAGGGATTTCTTCACTTACGTCACATGCCATTGGTGTAACGCGGATGTGTCAGCTGGCATGATAGAAACTTAACGTATTAGGGATTTTTTTTTGCATTGAGTCCGCTTTTTGGTGGTCGATTGATGGAAGGCCGCGCGCTTTCGTGCGGAGCGCATGCAGTTGCTGCGGCCTCTGATCTCCAGCATCAGCAAGGCATCCGGAGGAGCCCCGAGAGGCCCCTTCTGTGGCGTCAGCTGACGGTGCGGGAAGCGTCGGACAGCTTGCGTCGCCTGGTCGAGACAGATGCAGTGAATTTTGTATTTCTCTATCGCACGTTGTTGAAGCGGTATATGCAAGATGAATATGCACACGAGCGTTTGATCAGGCTTTGCTCCAAGCCGGCGACGGAGAGCGCCGTGTGGTTGGCCGCGTCTGGACGGGGTGTGACTGACAGTCGCCAGGCTGTGGCTGGACGGGGTGTGACTGACGGTCGCCAGGCTGTGGCTGGACGGGGTGTGACTGACGGTCGCCAGGCTGTGGCTGGACGGGGTGTGACTGACGGTCGCCAGGCTGTGGCTGGACGGGGTGTGACCGACGGTCGCCAGTCTGTGGCTGGACGGGGTGTGACTGACAAGTGCCGGCGGTGTGTTGCTGCAGGACTGCGGTCTGCTCCGTCGCCATCCGTCCGATGGAGCGGGCCCGCCGGCTGAAGATCAGGGAGCTCGGCGCGGAGCTCACCTGCTACCTCTGCAACGGCTACTTCGTGGACGCCTTCACCGTAGTGGAGTGCCTCCACTCGTGTAAGTGGAAGGTGTGCCAGAGCTATCAGTGTCACAGTTAGACTTCTGACGAAAAGAAGTCAACGTGTTGGTGAAGTGGTAAATTGATTTGCTGGTTGTTTGATGACAATGGAAATGGCGTACCAACACAGATACAGTTTTACAGTTTTCGGATTAACTATAGCAGAGCAAATGCCATACAACTCGTAGCATAGATATCAACGTCAAAAAGTGATATTGTAACCGCGCGTGCTTTAGTTTTAGTTGTTGGTTTATGTGCATTTCGTCTGATCCAGCCTAACGTAAAGACGGCGTTGCACCGCTTTGAGTTACGTAGCTATTTTATTGCGGAACCAGTGCCCAGGACAGGCGAATCGCATTGTCTCACTGTGTCGTTTGTCCTGCGCAGTTTGCAAATCATGCATCATGAACCACGTGAAAAAGACGTGCGCCTGCCCAAGATGCGGGACGTTGCTCAACCAGGCCCGACTGACCGTGGCTCTCAGGTCAGTACAGCATTTTGAGGCCGGGCGGAGGCGGGCTTATGACGCTAACAAGCTGATATGTTAGACTGGTGCGCTTTGCACAGCGAAAACGCTGCTCCGCAGGGGGAGCAATACTGGGGAGTGCTAGGGGAATGGGGGGGGGGGGGGGGGGCGGGAGGGATTGTCTGTAGCCATACGCCCAATGCCTGTGTGGGCTGAGGAAAGCTTTGCACGCTCATTGGAGAATCCATTGACTGCACGGATGCAAACGCGATGTGCTTGCTTGAGGTACGTTCCAAGTCCGAGACATCACTGGTGAGCAGGCTAGCTTGAGGTACGTTCCAAATCCAGAACATCACTGGTGAGCTCTATGTTATGCGGCCCCCAGTCCTTTGCTGAATCGGATGCGGGTGGTCTGCATAAGGATAGAATAAAGGTGTAGTTCATGTCTACAGCATGTCCGCGTTATTTCGACCTACTCAGCGTTCAAAGAAGCGTCAAGAATTGGAGCCTTTGACGGACGCTCTCGCATTTTGACCATGGACGTCCGCACGCTTCGTGCATTGCTTCTCGTGGGCTGGTGAGATGTCGCTAGGTAATGGTACAGCAAGCTCTCACACTGGAGACTGATGGGACGTCAGTTGTTGATCGGGGTAATAAGGCAAGGGACCAGTGCCGAAACACTCCGAAGTGTCTGCTATTCATGGCTATGGGACACCACCCCGGCAACTAGCCTTGTCCCAGAGATGCCTTTATACATTGCGAAATGCGAGTGAAATAATCAGTAGCTTCCTAAATACGCTGTCCCATCAGTGACCTATTTACTATGCAGTTGGAAATCTGAATTTTCTTCCCAGTTTGGATTACGTCGGTCAGAGATGCTTTCCGGCCACTGTACAGAATTTTACGATATTTTCCAAATTGATTCTATATTTAAACCATTGGGATCTTTTCCAAATCCCGACCGAGAAGGTCATGGAAACACCCGTTCGTAGCCTCCTGAGTATGATTTCACAATGCGGGACCAATACGTCCCGAAAAATGTGAATGCACAGAGGCTGGCAGCATGCCGTCTGGCACTTTTTCACAGTCTTCAAATGAAAAACAGTAAAAGCAGCGCTGCCTGTTTTTCCAACACCACATCACACCTTTGCTGATGTGATTTGGCCAGCATCTGAGGCGCGTGCATCGCACACGACGTCTACCAACTACGAAGTCTCAGTGTCTTAGCAGTGAGGACCGCTGCCGATGGAAAGCATGCCCCCCCCCCCCCCCAATGTTGTGTCAACGAGGAGACTCTTGTTCGGGAAAGGTAAGTGGTTTCCCTAGGGATCAATCTACGGAGACCTTCGATGCACTCGCCCGTTGGCATGGCTGGTGAAACAAGGGAGTCAACTAGCCATCTCGAAATAAAGTGAGTCAAACCCGGCTATTTTGTACATGGGGAGGGTCAGGGGGCCCCTATCGGACGCCGTGCCCCGCCCCCCCCCCCCCCCCTCCTTACCAAGACAGGCGGCACCCCTATACACCATGCCTCTTATGTGTAGGGCATGCCCGTCCACTCCCGGTCCCCGGAAACAGGGGAAACAAGGGACAGTGATTCGACATCGTAACTTTGACCCGACCTCATTCGTCACAGTCAGAGACACGCTGTCTATGAATCATCCACGTCGACTGCTTCAGCGAGGCTTTTACCGTATCAAATGGAATAGTGCGATCACTTGATTATGCATCTGCACCGTAGATGGCCTCGCATGTCGTCACTGGCCTGCCTTAGTATAAGGCTGTTGCTCTTTCTGTAACTGAGACCGCTCTATCTGACTCTCCGACTCACCGTCCGGCCCAAAGTGGTTGCGGTTCTATGCAAGGGAACGTTTCACAATAAGCTGTATTGAAAAGAGCATCAGGTAGGATGAAATAAGCTCACTTCTAACCATTAATATACGTGTAAGCGGAGACGAGTGCTCTAGACAGTGCAGTTTCACTATTTAGTGAATACGGTCCTCAATGCGTCATTGTTGATTACGTCACGGAACGTTTGTGTGACTTGGGTGCTGCCAAACTAGCCGTGCGAATTTGCCACCTTGCGTGTATTGAAACATCGACTTGATTAGGCCTGGCCTCCTGAAAAGTCATCACGGGCGCGGTGCGGACATTCTAAAACTGCTGTCTGTCACACTACGGATACGGGTGGACTATGCGCAGGCTCGAAGTCACCAGCAGATCCGATCGATCATATGGATCCGTGAAATCAATGCCAGCTCTCAAACTAGAAAATGACAGTACGCATAGGTGATCGTAGTTCCTTGAAATGAATCGGAAGGAGGGGTGGAACGGCGAACGGGTCCTGAGGGGCGTTCCTTTGCAATTATACTGTTACTTGGTTGCGAATTTTTAGAGTTTATGGCGCGCGGAACCGGCACTAAGAAACCGCAAAAAGTGGCAACTGTAATCCATAATAATCTACCACAAGAATCCACCTATGCATAAGCAGCGAAGTGCAGGTGCAGTTAGCATTGGTCAATGCTCCCAGGATATTCAGCGTTGTTTTTACATAGCTGTCAGTTTTCATACTTAACATATATCATTTCCTAGAAGTTTTGGCCATTAATACCAAAACTTTTAGGAAATGAGGAGTAGATGTGGCATCGGAGTGAACAGGCTTCGCAAACAGGCCCAGCGGTAGAAAATATGACAATTTAGTGCATGAACATTTTAGGAACAGGCTATATACCCTTTCAGAACATGCTTACTAATATTAATATGCAAGGGGTTTGGTCCAGGTACACCAACGTTAAGCTCAAGATAACAGTTTCTGTTTTCTCGGTTTCTGCTTGGCATGCATGGCAGGAAACTCACATCGGTTTAGGGGAGTTCGGCACTCTGCAATGCAGACGCGATCTTTAAGATCAACCCAACCTTACTATACGACACAGGCATTGTTATGGATGCTTGTGGTGTTGGAAAAATTTGCGTAGAAGAAAAACCTTGTTCACATTACACTGTATTTATCTGTCCTTCGTGCCTTTTCACGTTAAGATATCAGGTGGTCCATTTTACAACTGTCTTCCACGAATGCCTTTTTGTTTGAAAAAAAATTGCTCCTGGATCAGTCAAGGAACAGTCTGCCCCCCCCCCCTTGGGGATAACGCCGCCGTTATCCCAGTCCTGATCGTGGTGTTGGCCATATGCTTCGCGGTTAGCCACGGCGACCGACTGTGCCAACTCGTAACCAGAGCTGACCTATCTGAGGATTTTCGGGCGGTAACGCCGTTATTTTCCGCCTGTCCGGAGGTGGCGCAGCGTTTAACGGCGCTGTTCTCACCATGGCCATAAGGACCGGCTGGGACCCGATTTCTATTGCCACAGTCCATTGCTAATTATCGGCGCAGAAAAAAGTGCCATCAGGGCTCGCTATCGCCCGTCAGCTGGCGGTTTCCGTTTCCTGTGAGACCTGCTGCACAAGGATCACGCGGAGCGGCATCTGTTTTTTGTGGAAGTTTTTGCGCTCGGCGGCCGCCGTCGCTACTTTGTCGTCCCAGTGCGCCACATTTGTTGCTGGCGGAGGTGACGTGACCCTGGTCCATACGGTTGTCCTACATCTGCCCTCCAGGAGCGAGATTCTTCCACAAGGGCTTGAGCCAGTGGTATATGTTTCGTGTTGTTGACCTCGTGCTTGCGATGTCGATACATTGTGCCTAGACGCGACTCCCTCGTTTGATGCGGCTGATGCTGATCCTCTAACATTCACCACCACCTCCCAACCCGCCCCTCCCAGATCCGACAGGGCTACGTTAGGCAACCGACCCGCCGCTCAGAGATGAGGGGTGGGCTCGGGCGACCCGACCCGGCCGACCCCGTCCCGCCAGCACGAGGGAACACCCGCCGATCGGGGCCGGAAGCCGTCGCCTGCGGGCGTACCAGGCCGGCCGGCGCCAGCGCGCGCAGCTTTAATCACGCCCGGGAAGGGGAGCGCAGCCTATCAATCCATTTTAATCGCCCAATGGAAGCGCTCGGGTTGTTAAAGGGCTCCGAAGTGGTCTAGAGTGGCTGGCGCCACGAGAAAATCGACGTTCGTGATGTTGTTTGCGTGGGGAAATTGGGCATTAATTAGGTGTGGGGTTGACCTGGCTTTGCGTTGGCGGTATTTTCGTGAATATGGAAGACAGTACATTTTTGGTGTATCACGCATAATAACCACAAAAGACCCAGAAAGAACGAAAGCTTAGACTCGCTCACCAGCATAACACATTGAAAGTGCCTTTTAGCGCCAAGGCTCCATATTCATAAAAAGGTCGTATGTTCGTTGAATGAAGCGGTCATACTTAAACGGATTACTGGCTGGTGTTTAGTGGTCAGTGTAACGCGAGGCGGAAGTGGGGTGTTCTGTACGCCGTCCCGGCTTTGTCGCCGGATAATTAGAACAAGCCAACTTCGTTAGTCTCGTGTGTCGGCTGTCCGGGCAAAAACTGATCGGCGCGGCCGCCCGCCCGCCCCCCAGCGTTTCACCCTTCGAGGATAGGCCGCCCCCGTCGCTGGTGGCGCCGGCGTATCGTGTCTCAGTCTGGCGGAGAGGGGGAGGGCGCAGAAAATGGGCGCTGGAGGGTGACGTGGTCAGTTTCGACACGGTGGTCTTAGCGTTTTTGGCGGATGGCTGGCGGGAGGGGATGGATCTCACGGCCTTATGCTCGCCAATTTTTCGCCAGAGATATGGTGATGGGTTTTCCAACTTAATTATATTCACGGTTACATTTTTCATCTTGTCAGCCATTTAGCAATTCGACGAGAAGTCGGGCCATCCGCTCTCGATAAAGAAGCACATGTCTGAAAAGTATTTCGTGGTAGGACAACGTGACGCCAGTATATTCGAAGGTGGCTTGTGGAGTGTCGGTGGTAGCTGAATGCTCCACTAGACAGGAAGGGAAGAATGCAGTTCCGTTTCATTCCCCAATCCTTTTCATCCCGAAATGTTATGAGTTTGTGATGGCCGCGGGATTTCTCCAATGCTGTCGGTTCGTGTGAACTAAATTGCTATGATAGTTTCGGGGATTACCCAACGATGCCAGGGTGTCTGATGAAGCCATTAACAAGAAAACTTTGTTCAAGCTGTTGTAGTAGTTGAGTTAACTGTCGCGATTACGGTAAGCTGCACCGAAGTAAAATTGATATGAACTAGATGGCTTAACATATTACGTAAGTTGCTCAGTGCATTAGCGAGGAACATTGTTCACCTAGATCGGACAGAAGTAATAGCCACTCAACTATATCTCCATTCCCCTGGGTTTTTTTTTTCTCCGAGGAATAATGCTATTACTACTGTCATATGAATGGTTAAACATGTTCGTATACAGACTCACTCACCTAGGTGTTATGTGATATCGATGATCATGCTGTTTGTGATAATTTTGTAATGATCACTGACGGTGAGGATTTTAGGATCACTGAAATGCGAGAGTTTGGTAGTGGACGTGATGTAAACATTTATCTTGTTTGTATCCTTTCGCATGCAGGACAGTTGCGTTGTGTAAATATGCCAACGCATATGTAAGGCGGCCACCTCCGCGGTTGGATGGAAAGGTGCGGGACTTGTAGTCCATCGGCAGTGGTAGGAGTCTGAGGGCGGTTGCGTTGCTCGGCCCAGCTGACGTAAAGGTTTGCCACAGACGGCTGGCATGGCCGCAGTCAGCCGTTCCGTGGCGCTGTACGGCGCGTGAAGCCCTCCACAGTCATGGCTGTTAAAATCAACGGATGCAAGATTATCTGTTGACCTGGAATTGTATAACCTGGTGGATGGGCTCGGGGGGGGGGGGGGGGGGGCACGCAACAGGCAGCAAATGCTGTGAAGCCAGCTCCACCCATGGGAACCATTTGAAGCAAATATAACGACTGCCTGCTTGTGAGATGGGTGGGAGCTGCGTTATGCGTTACACCATGAGGCGCCTAATAGGAATGTCGCATGTTCCCGGGAAAACGGAGTTGTTCTGGTGTTTGGTTTCCAGCACAACGGCCAGTCTTTATACTCATGTGGCCCGGACCCCACTGTCATGTGTGACGGAGCTGCTGACTGACGTACTGGACACCGTCATTCCCGTCATCCCACAGCTGGAACAAGGTTATCCGTGACCTCCCATCTGAGTGTCCATCTCCATCCCGACTCTAGCCTGACCCCGGCTCCTCTCTCTCCGTGACCTCCCATCTGAGTGTCTGTCTCCAGCCCGACTCTGGCCTGACCCCGGCTCCTCTCTCTCCGTGACCTCCCATCTGAGTGTCCATCTCCATCCCGGCTCTGGCCTGACCCCGCTTCTCTCTCTCCGTGACCTCCCATCTGAGTGTCCATCTCCATCCCGACTCTGGCCTGACCCCGCTTCTCTCTCTCCGTGACCTCCCATCTGAGTGCCTGTCTCTGTTCCGTCCGCAGGCCTGACCAGACTCTGCAGTCTGTGGTGTACAAACTGGTGCCGCGCCTCTTCAATGACGAGATGCAGCGGCGGAGAGAGTTCTACGCTCACCACCCTCAGAGAGGTGAGCTAGGCTTCGTAACAGTGATATGCGCGGATGAGCGTCGGAAAGGTGGTAAAAATACTGGGACTGATTGCTTATTTCCGATCCTCTGAGGAGTCGAGGTTAGGTACATGCTGTGTCTCACGTTATATATAACCGGTCCGCTTCAATTGCTCTGCTGCTAAGGGGAAGGGGGGCGCAGCGCAGCGCAGCACAACGATGTGACTTGTGTGAAAGATCAATTATTGCCAACATAAGAACTGAACTTAACTAGGCGAACGTGCCATGACGTGTTGGCTCTGGGAGGGGCAGTCCTAGTCAGCTGTCAGTTGGGATATGAAATCGCTGTCCGCGGTCAGGAGACCAAGCATGGCTCATGAGAATGGGCACGACATCATTGATGGCGTCGCCAGGCAGCACGGCGCATATTGGTGCGCTGATCAGATCTCAGTGAGAGGGACAGTTCTACCCACGTAGCTTACGCGATGCCATCAGCTGAGTCGTGATATCAAACAACAGTTGACACACGTGATTACGAGCTCACCAACTTCGCTTGATGATGGGACGTCATGAAACGGACGCGTGTAAGTTACGTTTTGTTTTTGACGTTTCGGCAGATCGCAGCCTGTCGCCGGAGAGGCGTGGTGACGTCAGCTCCCAGCAGTTTGTGTACACGCTCACCGACCCCATCAGCTTCAGCCTCGAGTACTACAGGTGCGTCCACACCAGAGCGTTCCCTCCTGCCGAACTCGGCCAGTGGCGGGGCGCACTGGCTTTCAGGCCGGCCGGTCGGACATCTCCGGCGCTGTCGATGTGTTTCGAGTCTTGTCGGGCTGTGCTCGGTTTAGCCTGCAGCTTCGTGTCCTGCCGGGCTGTGCTCGGTCTAGCCTGGCAGCTGTCTGACGCCGTCTGGTCCTGTCCGTCTTTGTCGCGTGCTCTCGTGGTACCCCTCTCCAATTACCCTGGATGCCTTCATGGGCCGGGAAAACCTGCAGATGGCTATTCTGAAAGGGTAAATTCGCAGGTTAGGAACGCATTGCGACAAATGCGGTTGTGGGTTTGGTGGCGGGTGAACACGGATATGGTCATGCGGGCTGCACACCCGTTCCCCACCCGTACCAAAGAGGTACGGGTGGGGTGGGTGGGGTGTGCAAATATTATCCGTGAAGTTCTCTAATACGTCATCCAGCCGCCCGGTGAGGCCATTGCGCTTCGATGAGTCGCCTGGTTGTTTCTCTCTGCCGTTTGCAGTTATTTGGTTTAGTCCAGCGCCGTCCAGTCCGGGCGTGCAGTGGGTACCCCACCCGGCGCTGCACTAACAACGCAACGGATCTGACGGACCGGGCTGGGTGGCCGGGCTCGGTGACCGCCGCCGCGTGACTCGCTGGCAGCGGCGCCATTTTGAGCTGTGCATCGTTGTGTGCAATGTGCACCCGTGGCACTGTTCGTGCCGGGCCGTGGCTTAGCAGGAATACTTTCCTGTGATGGAAGCAGGATATGGCGGGCATGTTGTGCTCTCATCACAGCCCGTGAATCCGGGTCATCTCGTTCATTTGCGTTGAAGACTTCGTTCAAGACTTATGCCTAGCTGCAGGCAATAGCAGTGTTTGTAATCTGCCACATTGTGTTGAGATTATTTAGTGGACATGGGTCGCCTAGAGCCGGTGCAATGGCTGTTGCCATGTGTTCATGATTACCGCGAAGGTTGGGCTTTTTATTGAAAGTTACGTCGCTTACATTCCCTGCGGTCCCAAGGCAAAAGAAGCACAGCTAGTTAGTTTTTCTTGATTGAGGACATTGTGAATTGCATATTCGCGCATGACGATGCACGTTTTCATGGCAGCCTGATGGCACCACTGTTGGTGGTTCTCGGCTGGCTGGGGCGGTCAGGCCTCGAAGACGTGTCTTATGTGGATGCCGCTGAGCGTCGGCGGGGATCGGCGAGATCCCCTAGGTCCTCGCCGACGACACCTCCTCGCCCCGGCGGAGACGTCTCGCTTGCGACTGAACTGGCACATGCACCGCTGCTGCGCGTTCTGGCACGGCGCCGACCGTGGCCAGCTGGCCCCGGTGGCCGGCGGCCGGCCGCGCCCCCCGGCCCGGAGCGGTAGCACGTGTCCTAGCCGGCTCCAGGCGGCTGACCGGCCAGATCAAACGTCCAGACGTCACGGGGACACAATTATTGTCACTAACCGTCCCAAACATGGCTTACAGCGTGGCTTAGAAACAGGAACGGAGAAGCAAAAGCAAGTGCACGAGTGCGCAGAAGCGTGACCTGGGGTCATCCGCTTGCTCTGCCACTACTACCACTATTACGGTTTGCTCGTTCTGTCACGTAGTCGAGCTGCTGTCCCTCTCTGCCCGGGCTGTAATGCTGGCTGTTGCCTGTCCGCTGCCACTCGTCCGGGCAGCGGGTGGACCGAGACGGCTGGACCACCCCCGCCGGCCCCCGGGCCTCCGCGCACCGGTCTGAGCCGCGTATCAGCGGCACAGGGAGCCCCGGCAGCCGCCCGCTGCTCGGCTCAGGCCTGCGGCTGGCTAGAGCGGCCGCCGCCCGTCAGCAGTGTGGCAGCGGCTCGCGCGGCCGACGCGATGACCTCAGGTGTTCCGTGGCGCCACCGCTCGCCGCGCCGTCCGCTGCAGGGGACGGGAATTCACATTCTGTGGCTGGTGGAGTGTTGGGCTTGTACTCATAAGGGCCTCGTCGCTTATGGTTGATGAGGGTTTACTGACCAGTACAGAATAGCGGGAACACGCATTGGGCCATGAACATCGCTATTAATGTCCCGAGTGTGACTAAGCCAGGGTATGACGCATTAAGAGCGCTGACCGGTTCACTCGCACACTTTGTGGAGCCTGACCCCGCGGTAATGTCCTGAGTGTGACTAAGCCAGGGCATGACGCACTTAAGGACTGACCGGTTCACTCGCACACCTTGTGGAGCCTGACCCCACGGTAATGTCCTGAGTGTGACTAAGCCAGGGCATGACGCACTAAAAGGGCTGACCGGTTCACTCGCACACCTTGTGGAGCCTGACCCCGCGGTAATGTCCTGAGTGTGACTAAGCCAGGGCATGACGCACTAAAAGGGCTGACCGGTTCACTCGCACACCTTGTGGAGCCTGACCCCACGGTAATGTCCTGAGTGTGACTAAGCCAGGGCATGACGCACTAAAAGGGCTGACCGGTTCACTCGCACACCTTGTGGAGCCTGACCCCACGGTAATGTCCTGAGTGTGACTAAGCCAGGGCATGACGCACTAAAAGGGCTGACCGGTTCACTCGCACACCTTGTGGAGCCTGACCCCACGGTAATGTCCTGAGTGTGACTAAGCCAGGGCATGACACACTTAAAGGACTGACCGGTTCACTCGCACACCTTGTGGAGCCTGACCCCGCGGTAATGTCCTGAGTGTGACTAAGCCAGGGCATGACGCACTAAAAGGGCTGACCGGTTCACTCGCACACCTTGTGGAGCCTGACCCCACGGTAATGTCCTGAGTGTGACTAAGCCAGGGCGTGACGCACTAAAAGGACTGACCGGTTCACTCGCACACCTTGTGGAGCCTGACCCCGCGGTAATGTCCTGAGTGTGACTAAGCCAGGGCATGACGCACTAAAAGGGCTGACCGGTTCACTCGCACACCTTGTGGAGCCTGACCCCACGGTAATGTCCTGAGTGTGACTAAGCCAGGGCATGACGCACCAAAAGGGCTGACCGGTTCACTCGCACACCTTGTGGAGCCTGACCCCACGGTAATGTCCTGAGTGTGACTAAGCCAGGGCATGACGCACCAAAAGGGCTGACCGGTTCACTCGCACACCTTGTGGAGCCTGACCCCACGGTAATGTCCTGAGTGTGACTAAGCCAGGGCATGACGCACCAAAAGGGCTGACCGGTTCACTCGCACACCTTGTGGAGCCTGGCCCCACGGTAATGTCCTGAGTGTGACTAAGCCAGGGCATGACGCACCAAAAGGGGTGACCGGTTCACTCGCACACCTTGTGGAACCTGACCCCGCGGCGTGGTGCCGGAGCTGGGCCAGTGGCACCGAAATCCGCAGGTCATGCTGCATTTAATTGAGGGCAAATGCTGTATATGTCATTCAGTGCATTAATCGCACAATGTAAGAGGGTAAATCTACGCAACTAGCCTCTCTTTCTATTGTTCATTCTACACCATGTTTCAATACGTGGCTTTGAATATGACCATTTGTGAGAGACGTAAGTTAAAAACTGGCGCCCTGAATATGATCATTTCAGAGAAACGTAGATTTAAAACTGGCGCCTGAAGGAAAGCATGTTTCCAAAACGCGTGTTACCAAGGCTGGGCGTGCAGCGCGACCGCACAGTTGTGGCCGTGGTTTTGGCACCGCATGCCCAGCGCTTGTCCGTTCGTTTAGCTGTGCTGTCCCCTGCACGCCCGTGGACCGGCAAAGTTGATCAGATAGCCCAGGGCCCAGATTTCGCGCGCGACGCCTCCCCGCAGAGTCGTCGTGACGTCACCGCTGGATCTGATCACGTGACGGCGCGCGCGGCGCTCCTGGCCGGGCGACAGGCGGCATTCGGGGCGCTAATTCGGCACCACCTGTCTTTTGTCCGGCGCCCGAGTAGGGGGGCCGGCGGCGCCGGCGGTAGCGGCGTTGTGCAGCGGGCGATTTTGGCGCCACGCGGTGATCCTAACCGACGCGGTCACCGCCCCTGCGCCCCGTATTTGTCTTCTAGGTGATCGAGCCGGTCATGGCGACGATCAACTGTGGGTTTGTGACGTCATTATTTTGCCCGGAACGCGCACGTGCAACGGCGAAGGCCGCGATCCTTCAATGCGGTGGGGCTCAAATGACAAAATGTTGTTGCAAGCCGACAGTTTGTATTGGATGGAGTGTTCACACGCTGCAAACCACGCGTTGGTCCTCATTTTCGAAGTGCTATTATGGCAGCGATTTGTTTTTAACCCACCATGTCTCCTACGTGACATTTTGTCAAGTCCTCCAGCTGGCCTTGTGCATGGCTGTTTGACTGGAATACGTTCTGAGTCAGAGTAAAAGCGAATGGGGTTTAATAAAAATCGGGTTCAATGAGACTGTTAAACGGTAAAACCAAATCTTACGCCGGCACGTTAGATGTGATGAATTTATATGAAGTAATTGTTCGGCCTAGCGTCGTCGGTTTGTTACTGAGTCCCGAGAGGTACTGGATGGTGTTTGCCTTTTAGCCATACGCTCCGGAACCTGAACTCTCCCCTTGAAATTTCCGGGGTTGGAACCGGTTCTTTTGATTACGATTCCAGCGCTTTATCAACTAAGCTAACCAGGAGGGAAAATCTGTCGGTGTTAGAGTTAAGTGTCATTCATCTCTTGGACGTTTGGAGACTTTCCGCTTAACTGGGAGCTATACTGGGCGCTTGGGTGTCTACGCTTGCCTCACTGACGTATTGTAAGCCAATGTCATGAGTGGTGCATCCTGGACCATTCCTCCTTCCCCGTGTTACTCTGTGTTGATGACGGTTGTCTCATTCCATGCTGGTCGATGATCGCCCTCTGACCATGTGTGCCCTGCCACACCCGACTTCAGAGTCTAACCCTGGATTGTTACCTGTCTGGCGGCCGTGAAACTTGCTAGAGGCGTCAGTGGACAAAGTCGGACACGGCGCACTAAAAACGGTGGGCTCATTGTTAACGAATACTATACAGATGTCATTATGTATTTCAGAT